CTGGAAGGATGAACTGCCAATAGGTTTTTCACTTCCTAGAAAGATCTGAAGATTAAAGTCTCCGTGCCCTTGGGGAGAGCAGAATGATCTCTTTGGTGCCTGGTGTTCTAGGCTTTACCAAAGTTACCATGAAAGAGCGAGAAGCATGGTGAGGTTTGGAAGAAGGGGCTGTGTGTTTACAGAAGCAGAACTTCCTTAAGAGGACGGGGAGGAGGGAGGACTGTGGGGCCAGGAGAAGTGAGCATTCAGTCCCTGTCCCTGGCGGGGGCCTGGGAGAGATGACCCCGGGGTGGGGGAGGCAGTGCACTCTGCAAGGATGGGTCACTGGACCCGATCCCCAGTAAGCCCCAAATTCTCAGGTCGCAGGCATGCATCAGAAGGGACAGTCCCCTGGCGTCAAGGACCCTGCAGAAACAGGGAGAAGAGACCTCTCCAGAGTGACATGTGTGCATGAATGACCAACAAAGGCCCCAGCCCAGATGCCTTGGCACTATGGAGAGCCCCAGGGTAGGGCGGTCAGGGGGGCCCCGGGAGAAATAAGATTGACTTTCCCTGTCAGCTCAACAAGGTTGAGGTGATTTCTAGAGAGGTTTTAGAGAATGAGAGAATAAGGAAATGGGATCCTTCTGGCACCCCTGGCTGTATGAACTGAGATTTATGCTTAACCTACCCCCTACTCCTTTCTGTCAGAACCCTCGGCTCCAGCCAGCCTGGTGTGGCCTTTCTGTCCAGATGGGGGTTCATTCCATGTCCCCTCCTCCATTACTTCTAAGGACCACTCAAGGAGCAGCACCCCCTCACTCCCTGCAACCCCCAAAGGCCTCTCCCTCCCTTCTCTGAAGCTTGAAGCTCACTCATGGTGTCACCCATTTGAGAGATGTGTATGGAGAGTGCTCTGCTTCTGCTGGGACTTGGCTCCCCAACTTGGCCAAGAGCTTCATGAAGGTAGGGACGTGGCCCTTTCTCCTAACCCTGGGCTGATCATTGGAGCCCCTGCCCGGTCGAGAGACCCGCAGGGCCCAGGGCTTGGCCCTTTCACCAGAGGCTCCCATCCCTTGTCAGCCTCTCTTCGCCTCATCATGCGGACTCACTTGCTGCTGCGCATGCCGGCACCCGGTCTGCAAGACCCAGGCCTGCCTCTGGGGGAGCCTGCTACCCAACCAGCAAGTGGGTGTTGTGGTGGCCCTCCTAGGACAAGCCTTGCCTACCTACTTCCTCCTCTGCCTGCCATAGATGGGCAGATTTTGCTGGAGCCTGACGTTGACAAATGGACCCGTTTTGTGTTAAGAGCCTCTGAGCTCTCTGTGCACCAGGACCCCAGCAGATGTAAACACTGGCGGCCTCTCTTCCTTGGCTAAATAAACTGCAGGCTTCCAGAACAAGCCACTGCCCCAGCACACACTCATGGTGTTTAAAAAAAGTGTCAGCTCGCTCCAGCCCATGCTCTTGGCAGAGGCCAGTTCTCCCTCTCCCAGTTGAATGTCCCAGACTCTGGGCCACTGATGTGCAGGCCAGGGAGCAACGGGGACAGAGCTCGTCTCCTAAAGGGGCCAGCCTGGGCCCCTCTGCTTCATGGACAAAGGATAGCTATGCATGAGGAGTAAATCCTAAAGCCCTGCCCGAGCTCCGAAGACATGTTCTTTTTGTTTAAAGTTTAGATCCTGTGAAAATAAGAATGTTACTCCCTTCACCCCTGACGCAAGGATATTTTAAACTTTTTTTTGGTATTCGTTATTCATTAATTCACCTGACATTTATGGGGCAGCCACTTGGTGCTGATTGCCAAGCATAACACTGCCCCCTCCACTCCAAGTTGCCTCAAAGCCCACATGAGTGCTCATCCCATTAATTTAAAGCTTTCATACCTATGTCTGTATATGCTAGATATAGATAGATGATAGATGATAGATAGATGATAGATAGATAGATAGATAGATAGATGATAGATAGATAGATAGATGATAGATAGATAGATAGATGATAGATAGATGATAGATAGATAGATGATAGATGATAGATAGATGATAAATAGATAGACTTCCTCAGCCCTTATCCCTGAGTCATATTTTATATTTAATCCATCATTTTCATTCAACTAACATTTATAGGGCGCCAGGATGGGCTGGCCACTCTCCTAGACCCTGGACATAAGACACACTCCAGGCCACCCATGTGACAGGGAGCTGACCATAGGCCTTGAGAGAGAGGAGGCAGAGAGGCCAGTGGAGGCTGTAGCAGACAGAGGCAATCAGAGTTGGGGACCCAGCTCCCAGGCAATGGGGTCTGGGGCAAGTCTTCCCCCTCTTGGGGCTCCCAGCCTCTTCTCCAAATAAGGAACTAGATCGGGGATCCTCTTTGAATTTCATGGACCAAGAAGAAAATCAAAAACCTAACTGCTGGAACCGTAGAGGTCACCAAGATTTTATTCCATGGTGTAAGGAATTTTGGAGAAAAAGGAAAGTCAGCCTACCACCTGCCATCTGCCATCACATTATTTCATAAAGGAAAGGACATTTTAGCCCCAAAGCAGGAAGGGTTAGTCTCAGAACAACAGCGGGGCTTGCAAACCGGATTCACTTAGCTGAATCAACAGCTCACTGCCTTGTCATTGCTGTCCTCATTCTGCCCCATCCAGGTGACCCCGGGCTGCCTAGATGCCCCGCATGACCCACTAACATCCCGCGATGCTGCGTGTGACCTGCTGGAGCCGTGACCAGGTGGCCAAAGCCCAGCCCAGTCTCCAGGCCGAAGACTTGGTCAGATGACTTCCAGTGACGTCTCTCCAACACTGAAGGGGTGTCCAGCCCACATCGCTTCCTGGAACCCCCTTTTCTGTCCCATCCACTTGCCTCATCCCCACAGCTGTCCATCTCTCCTTCTCCTCCAGACACCCTGGAAAGTCATCCCTTTCCCACCCCTAGCCTTCAAGCCTCCAGCCTGGGGCCAGGGGGCACGAAGCACGAGGAGCACACACCAGCACACGTCCCATGTCACGGGAGAGGCTGCTGGTCCGCCGTGGGGGACATGGTCCTGTGCTTCCCAGACCCCCTGCGAGCCCGTCTGGCCTGCTCTCTGAGACTGTCAGCTGTGACCGGCTTCAGACATTGTCTCGGCTGCAGAGAGCTGCCTTGTCCAAGGTCTTCTTGGGGCGGCCTACGGGCAGCGATTGCTGGCCGGTCACCTTTGCCCAGCACAAGGCAACGCTAAAGGGCCACTCTAGTTCCCAGCAACCGGCCCCGCAACCGGCCCAGCGGGATCGAATCTCAGCTCAGCTCCTCCTCCACCCGCTCCGGATTCCCTCCCCTCCCTTCCCCAGGTGTGGCTCCCAAAGCGCCAACACCCTCTAAACACCCTGCCTCTAAAGTCGGAATCCGACTTGCTCACCATCAGTTCCGCCGATCGGCCAGAACCCATGGGCAGCCTTTCCCCCCCACACGTCCTTCCCATACACAAACCTCCATGAGCAAACTGGGGGCTTCGTGTGTCCAGAGGAGCTAAAGGACCTTAGGGTTCTTTTCCTATTCTAACAAAGCCTAGCCTACCCCCCACAGGTGTGCCCAGCTGCACCCGGTGTGTGCGTGTCCACACAGCCCCCCCACACGGGGGCTCAGAAACGGCATCGCGCGGCAGCTTCACGGGGTAACCCCACCACGCACACAGGTACAGAGTGGGTGACCAAGAGTAGGTGCCCACGGACAAACCCAGAGCAGCCCCTGGGGCCTTTCTGGGGTTCACAGAAGGGGCAGTGAACCCCATCCTTGTCCTGAGAGACTGAGATCCCTGGAGAAGCAGCAGCATCACCCGAGAACTCGCCAGAAGCACTCTGAGTTCCGTCTTCTCCCTCCTGCTGAGCCCTGAGCAGTCTCATCTGGGGTGCGGGGGGGCCCTCTGAGACTACAACTCCCTGTCGTGCTTTTTCCGTGCCAGCCCCCGTGCTAACTAGACTCTGTGTGCATTATCTCATTTAAAACTCACAGGCACACCATGAGATGCGCACCTGATGTGTGTCCTATCTTTGTTCAGATGACAAAGCCAAAGGGCAATAACCTTAAGAGGCTTGCCTGGAGTCACCCAGGCAGTCACAAACCCAGCCCGGCTCCCAAGCGTGTGCTCCTGATCACTTTCTAGGTGTAGCCCCCGGCCCGTGCTGGCCGAGTGTAAACACCACCCCCACACCCCAGGACGGTGCCCCATGCCAGCCCCACTTCCCCCGCCACCTCCTCTTTCCCCTGGGTCTCTCCTGCCCTGGCACCCAGTCCGAAACCTTTTCTCGAGAGAGGCAAGGCTGGGCCGTCCAAGCAGGGGGTGGGACGAGGGGCGGGAGCTAGAGCTGAACCTCATGAGCAAGCAGCACTTCAGCCAAGGCCCTCACCACCCCGCCTGGGGGAGCAGCAGGGAAGGCCGTGGCTCCAAGGGCTGGCAGTTGGCAGAATGGTGAGCCTGTCCCAGACCACAGCCCAGCCTGCACCTCAAAGCCTGGAGCGAAGCCCGCTGAGCCGTTGACCCGTGGAATCCAAAGGCTGCTGCTGTGGGTACATCTGATCCAGAACGTTTCCGGAATGGAGGGAGGGACCTGGGTTTGAGTCCTGGCTTGTCACCCACTTACTGAGTGACCTGGGCTGGGCACGTCCCCTCTTGGAATCTGTTCTTCGTTTCTGCAGGAAAGTGGTTGACTGATGGTTGGCAAGGATGTTTCCTGCTCTGAAACCGTGTCTTGGATTCTAGATTTCCATGGGACATTTGAGAAGTCTGGCCAGGACATGGGAATCTGAAGGGCGAACGGCTCTGGACCCGGCGCTCTGCACAGCCCACCTCATCTTCACGTGAGACTTGGGAGTGACCCCCTGTCTCCCCTGAGTGCCTGGCTTTGCACCCACTCCTCTGTCCCCCACATACTCCTGCACCCAGGAGGATTTCTTTCCTATAGCACATCCGGGCAGGGCACCAGGGCTCCGGAGGAGCGAGGAGTCAGGCCACGTGTCCCAGACCCGGAGGCGGCCATGGGGGCCCGTGGTGCTGTGACCGACGCCAACACCTCGTCCAGCCTTGAGAGCAACACCACGGGCATCACGGCCTTCTCCATGCCCGGCTGGCAGCTGGCCCTGTGGGCCACCGCCTACCTGGCCCTGGTGTTGGTGGCCGTGACGGGCAATGCCACGGTCATCTGGATCATCCTGGCCCATCAGAGAATGCGCACAGTCACCAACTACTTCATTGTCAACCTGGCCCTGGCTGACCTCTGCATGGCCGCCTTCAACGCCACCTTCAATTTCGTCTACGCGAGCCACAACATCTGGTACTTCGGCCGTGCCTTCTGCTACTTCCAGAACCTCTTCCCCATCACGGCCACGTTCGTCAGCATCTACTCCATGACCGCCATCGCCATTGACAGGCAAGAGGGGGGCTGTGGGGGGCCGGGGGAAACGGCCTCACTGTGTTGGGGCTCAGACAGGGCTGGCGATGTGCCTGCGATCACACAGCAAGTTAAGGGCAGATCTCAGGGAACTTCCTCCCGGCCGGATTGTGATCCAAAAGTCGGCCTCTGGAAGACCGGGGGGCTGTGGAACCAAAGCAGGCCAAGTTAAGGTTACACATAAGGAGAACTTGGCACTAGACGGTTGTTCAAGGCTGGAGGGAGAGAACGGCTGTGTTTGGAGACCTTCTGGAATGTTCTCCTCTGGAGTTGATCTTTTTTTCTTTTCTTCTTTCTTTTATTACAAGGAAATTGCTTATATTGTTTTCCTTTTCCTCGATAGATGAAATGGGGGGGGGAGGAATTTAATACTACAGGCAGTTACCGTATAATTATAATGGGTCCAATTATCTTCCCGACGCTGTTCTCAGGGGGCTGAGGGATCAGTGTGGAGCCATCTGCCGTCCTTTTGAAGCTGGTTAGGGCAGGCAGGGCACAGTTTGGACTCAGAAGGGGACTGTGTGACCCTGGGGGAGTCTGGTTTAGACAGCAAACGAAAAGGGACACAGAAAGACATCAGGTGCGTGTGGGAGATGGAACGGGCCTGGGACCCTCAGAGACACAGACCCCTTGTCAGAATGGTTTGAGGCGGCACGAGACCTGCTGTCCCCACTGTCCCCCTCCCTCCCCAGTCTCCATCCCCACTCAATTGCCCAACAACACCTAGCAGCTGGCTTCTTTGCTCTGGGCTGTATTGCTATGGAGTTTTCCTGAAGATTTCATTTGAGAACTGTATTTCTACTGGTTAAAAATGAAAAGTTCGAAAACCATTTGTCTAGGCGACGCTTCTGATTTCATACCCAGGGCAACTGAGGCTCGAGACAAGCAGGATTTCTAGCAAGTCAGGGGCAGGGCCAGGGGCCCAGAACCCAGACCTCTCTCTCTGCTCCCAGTAAGGGGCAGGCCCCTCATCATCCGACCACACCACCTCCCCCCACCAAAAGCACCTCAGTCCCACTGGATGTTTCTGCAAGTCCACCAACATTTCCTTTTCATTCACTCAACAAATATTCGAGTGTTCCCGATGTTTCAAGCACTGGGGAATATATACCAGTGGGAAAAATAGTCCTTGAAATCAGGCCTCATGGAACTTCCATTTTAAAGGGGTGGAGGTGGGGGGCGTATGGACTTGAGAGGACAGGGTGGGAGCCAGGAGACCAGGTAGGAGGCTGCCGAGTGACAATCCACGTGAGAGAGGATGGTGCTCAGAGATCGGGGTGGCAATAGTGAGAACTCATCCATTCGTTTCTTCATTCCGATGTTTCATGCCCCCTGTGTACAGATGCTGTTCTGGGCAAGGGGGAGAAAAACAGATAAAGACGCTTGCCCTGGTGAGAATTTAAATAATAAACACATGAAGAAATGGTACGCTGTATTTTGAGGTCATGAGTGCTGTGGGAAGATATCAGGGAGGGGCAAGGGGCCAGGCAGGTTGTAGGGCTAGACAGGGAGTGGGATCGGCCCTTCTGCCGGGTGGGTTTGCAGCAAAGATGGAAGGAGGAGAGGAGAGAGAGAGTGGACCCCATTAGCTCTGGGGAAGAACATTCCAGGGAGCGGGCACCGAGGCAGTAAAAGCCCGTGGCAGGATCATGCCCAGTGTGTGTGAAGAGCCCCAAGGAGGGCGGTCCTCACAGAGACACTGTGGAAAAACTCAGGGCTCACGGAGTCAGCACCCCCTTGTGCCCCAAGCACCGAGATGTGAACTCCCCTGTGCAGGGCAAGGACATCCTGTTGTCCTGGCCTTGTCTCAAGGTTCGGATCAATCCCAGTGAGGAAGGCCCAGGGGTCATCCAGGACCAAAGCCACTTCCGGTGGATTTAAAGGAAATAAATACATGGGACTAACTGTGTTTCAAATCCTAATCCCCCACAGCCTGCAGGCACTTCTCAAGCATCTCACTGCCTTACCAGGCCAACCATAGGGGCACAAATGACTGTCGGCCCACTTTACAGAAGAGGAAAGAGAAGCTCAAGGGGCTTAGGTTGTTTGCTCAAGATTCTACTGTTGGAATGTAGTGAAGTCAGGATTCAAATTTAAATTTTTTTTTTTTTAAGATTTTATTTATTTATTTGACAGAGAGAGACGCAGCGAGAGAGGGAACACAAGCAGGGGGAGTGGGAGAGGGAGAAGCAGGCTTCCCGCTGAGCAGGGAACCCGATGCAGGGCTCGATCCCAGGACCCTGGGATCATGACCTGAGCTGAAGGCAGATGCTTAACGACTGAGCCACCCAGGCGCCCCAGGATTCAAATTCAGATCAGTATGAATCCAAAGTCCCAGACCTGCCCCTCCGCTAATGAGGTAAGAAGAAAAGCTCTCCTCTTTCCCACCCCACTTCCTAGAATAGCAAGGGAGTCCAAGCCCCCAAGTTGACCCGCTAGTCACCTGCCTCATCTGTGGGGACGGGGCCACTGAAAAAAGTGGCCTCTCCTCTTGTCCCGCTGAGACCCTCAGCCGGGGTCCAGGCTGCTGAGGGGTGGAGCTGGCCCAGGGCCCAGCCACAGTAATGGGAGAAGGTCAGTGTCTCGGGGAGATGAGGGAGGGGGTCAACAATCATCTAGCCCAGACGCACGTTACCTGTGACCACAAACTGTGCACAGAAATCCCAGGGGTCATGAGCTTCTGTGAGGGTGAAAAATCACAATTACAAATGGAGACAGCACACCACGTTTTGCTGGGACTCCAGCAGTGCCCAGGACAACGTCACAGACAGAAATCACAGGTACCTCTGCTGTGCAGAAATCTCCAAGTATCGCCGACAGCCATCACTACTTAAAAATTACCGTGGGTTCCAGACCTGCTGCTAGATCTTATTAGCGGGTTGATAAATAAGTGTGTGTATTGCTATGCCCCAAATATATATATATATATATATATATAAAGATTTTAATTATTTGAAAGAGAGTGAGCGGGAGGGCGAGGGAGAGAGAATCTGAAGCTGACTCCACCCTGAGCACAGAGCGCCCACATGAGGCTCGATCTCATGACCCTGAGATCATGACCTGAGCCGGAACCAAGAGTCAGACGCTTAACCTCCTGAGCCACCCAGGCGCCCTGATTTCATATTTTGGTAACTGTATTTCAGCATAACTGGTTGTCTTTCTAAGCTTGTGTAATTTATTCCTGTAAAAACCGTATTCTGAGGAGGGCCCAGGGGCTCCGCCAGATGGCCAGCAACAGGTCCATGACCCAAAGAGAGCCCCCAGTCTAGTCCCAGACCCTCCCTCTTCTGAGGCGGCAACCAAAGCCCCGGGTGGTACAGCACAGTAGAAGCCGTATGGAGGCCGAGGAGGGGGCCTGTTTCGTTGGTGGATGGAGCTCTTTGGATCCTTTGACCTTGGAAGGAGGCAGCTACCCCCAGCTCGCCGTAGCCGCTCGGCTGGGGCCCTGACCCATGAGGCCTCAGCCCCAACAGGCTGCAAGACACTCCCACAGTGTCTTCGGGCGTCCTGGGGGCAGAGGGAGCTACACAGTGTTGTTCAGAGCTCGCGCTGTCTCTCCCAAGCCTCAGTCTGCTGGTGCAGGAAATGGAGAGACCAACCCTTGCCTGGGATACTCGGCCACCAGGCACCAGGGCTGCCAAACAGCAGCCCAAATCCCCGCAGGTTCCCAGAGAGAGGCGGGAGCTGAGGAGACAAGCTGCTTCTGGCCAACTTCTTGGAAGAGGTGGCCTTTCACTTGGACTTTAACGAATCCAGAATGGAGGGAGAAATTCCAGGCTGAGGGGAAAGAAATGCCCCCACAGAGGGTCGGTCCCACAGGCAGGGCTGTTCCTTGACCAGAGAGAGCCAGGGAAGGTGCGGGAAGCAGCGACACAGGGGGCTGGAAAGTGCGTTGGCCATGTGCAGAGGGCCTTGAATGCTGCGTTTAAAGGTTTAGACCTGCTCTGTCTGACAATGTAACTAGAGCCGTATGGGCCTATTTACATTTAAATTAATTAAAACTGAAAATCCAGTTCCCCAGTCGTATTAGCCATGCTTCCAGTGTTCACAGCCCTGTGTGGTTGGTGGCTCCTGGACAGGACAGGGCATATAGAAAGCATTCCCACCAGTGCAGAAAGCCGGGGGGCAGTGCTGGTTTGGGCTCTGTCCGGGAGACTGTCAGGTTCTGCTAAGGTCTTTGAGCAGAAGAGGGGCCGGCAGAGGCCCAGGGGCTCGGCTGGGCTGAGCTTCAGGCAGATGTCCTGAGTGGACTTCCAGTGTGGCCACGGCACTCTCTCGTGTCAGACGGAGGCGGTGAGGGGGGGCCTGCGCTGGGGTTTCGGGCGCTAAAGTGCTGTGCGGCCGTGGAGGGTCACCAGCCCAGGTGGCTCTCTGCGGGTCCCCAGCAGCGGTGGAGGGGTGGGGGGGGATGGGGCGACAGGGTGGGGGAGAAGGGGATGGGGGTTGCTCTGATGGGAGGGTGCCCCCCGCTCACACAGCCCTCTGCTCACAGGTACGTGGCCATCGTCCACCCCTTCCGGCCGCGGCTCTCGGCCCCCCACACCAGAGCGGTGATTGTGGGCATCTGGCTGCTGGCCCTGGCCCTCGCCTTCCCCCAGTGCTTCTACTCCGCCGTCACCACGGACCAGGGCACCACCAAGTGTGCGGTGGTCTGGCCCAAAGACAACGGCAGCAAGATGCTCCTTCTGTAAGGTCTGGGGGGTGCGGGGCATGAGTGTGTGCGCACACGTGTGTGTACAGGTGCACACACCTGAGAATGTCCGTGCTTGTGCGTATGCACACGGGTGTGCACGTGCATCTGCGAGGGTGTTTGGGATGACGTGAGTCCGTGCATATACCAAGGGACACTTAGCACTTCCCAAGAGGCTTTACACACACGAAGCCATTCAATTCTCCTAACGCTGTGGGGCGTGCATGTCTGAGTATTCCCATTCTCACATGAGGAAACCAGAGACTAGAAACTAAGTAATACGCCCAAGGTCCCACAGCTGGTAGGTTACGGTAACGCCAGGGCTTAAATCTGGGCAGCGCCGCTTCAGAGCGCCCCACTTCCGCGCCACCCGGGGACTCAGATCAGGACGGGTATGTCCTTAGATGAGGATATGCATAGGGCGCTACTGTGCGGCCAGGCTGCCCCCATTTATGTCTGTGTGCGTGTGTGTGTGTGTGAGTCCGGGGCCATGTTCATGGAAGTGTGTGCACACAGGTGTGTGGAAATGTGGGGGGCGAGGGGAGGTTGGGGGGAGGGCACTGTACATGCTCCTGCCACAGAGGGTCAGGGTATTGAGGTGGCAAGGGCAGGTGACAGAGCCTAGGATGTTTTGCCTGCCTCAAGCTGAGTGGGCGCCGTGGGCCAGGGGACCAGGCAGAAGAACTCAGACATGGGCCAGCCACTGTGCGACCCTGGGTAAGTCCTTTTCCTTTCCGGGCCTCGGTTTGCTACGTGCTGGCTTCCGGATGCCCATGCGCGGCTTGGTCGTTTAGCAGAGGGTAAAGAATTGGTTGAGGCTTGGGAGGCTTGCCCTTACCTTCCCGTCTCCAGACAGACAGACGCAGCTACAGACTATATATATATGTAATCTGTCTAATGCATATGTACATAGATATATCCTATACACACGTATGACTCAGGAAGAAAATATCCCAATTGTGAATATTGGTGAGAATGGAATTAGTAATTTTACTTCCTCCTTTGTGTTTAATGGCATTTTAAATGTTAAACAAATGTATTATTTGGTTAACTTTTTCCTTCCTATTTATTTCCTTTTTTGGAAATAAATGCGAAGTTGAAGGAACTCCCCCAAAATGTTTTGAGAATCAGAGAATCCTAAAGCCCCAAAGAATTTCAGATACCCCCAAGAATCTTAGAATGACTGACTCTCAAAATCTGTCTCCTGCAGCCTGGAGGACCCTTCCTAGACCCTTTGGCTCCTCTCCCGGGTGGGCATTAGTTAGAGCACTTGCCGGGGGGGTTGCTGTGAGCACGCGCGAGACCCGTCTGTGAGCCGTTAGCGCCGCGCCTGGCCCAGAACGGGCACCCATATGCGGTAGTTTAAGCCGCGGACAAAGGAGAGCAAACCTGGAGGGGGCCGATTTCGTCCCGCAGACGCCCAGCGGCCCGAGGCAGGAGGAGGTGCCTGCTTTGCGCGCAGGGCTGCCAGGTCACCATGGCAACACAGCCCCCGCCCCCGGCCCCGCCTCCTTAAGCACCCCTCCCCCCAACGTCCACCGCCACACGGGCTCCATCTGCCCCGAGCACCGGCCAGAAGGGGGCCTCGCCGTGGCCTTCAGTGCTACGGAAGAAGCCTGAGAAGCCCGGTCCCGGAGACTGATGCGTTTTGAGGGCGGGCCCTGCCTACGGTCTCTGCCCTCCCTCTGCACCCCACCCTGCTCCGAAGGTCTCGCGGCTCCAAGGCCAGTGTCCGTGGAGGGAAGGCTCGGGGAGGGGTGGAGAGCAGACTATTTTGTGGACTGACCACTGGGGGGCAGTGTTTCTCCACCTTACTACAGGCCTTTTTCCTTGAGAGGGCGACCAGTAATAACTCTGGGGACCCCGCACGGGCTCTGTGGGGATGGTGAGTTCCAACCCTGATTCAGGCACCAAGGGAAAACAGGAGGGCAGACGTGAGCTAGGAAGGCGATGCTTTGGTGTTACCTAGAATTCTACGAGGATTTGGGGAAAGCCTGGTTTATGTGTGCAAATGTGTTATTTGTTCTTGGTAGAGGAACTGAGGTTTCAATTGGGGGCTGCATCCTCACAGGCTCCCATCCTGGGTGTGTAGGCATCCGATGAAATTACAGACGCCGCATCCAGGAAAATGCACATAGACCCTCCAAAATCAAAATACATTTTAAAAGCCCAGACTCTGAGAGGAGGCAGTCCTGATTTTTGGTGGACCCCAGATGATCCCCAGGGCTCCTTGGAGCTCCCTTCAGCGTAGGAACCTAGCCCAGAGTGAACTCCTATCCTGAACCGTGCCCCAAGGAAAGAATGAGGCAAAATCGAGATGTCACTCATACTTGGGAAGGATCTTAGGGATTACCTCCTCGTTTTACAAAAGGGGAAACTGAGACCGGGGGAGAGGTCAGACTTGCCCGAGGTCACATTTTGAAGTGAGAGTCTGAACAAAAACTCAGTTCTGACTTCACAGAGCTGGACTTCAGTGGTAGGGAAATCGTCTGAGTGTTGATTAAATCTCTAGAGCTATTTCATATGTCACAGAATTTCTGCACCTCTCTGAACCTCAGTTTCACCCTCCAGACACTGAGGCAGGTAGCCCTGCTGACCCTCAAGGTCTAACTAGCTCAGACACTCTGTGTGTGACCTTACAGTGAAGGTAAAGTGAGAGGGGCCTGGCATTCGCTGTTCCCCCCTGCCCTTACCTGCACCACACAGGGGTCTAGGATGAGGATCCCGGGGTCTAGGAGCACCCGTCCCCCCAAACCTTTTGTAATTAGCATATTTGCTCAAAGAGCGAGCAAGCAGAATTCTAAACACAGGCTTTAGGGAAGACATTTGCTGGAGCCACCTGCTCCCCCTCTCTGGGTGGCAGCACCTCTCGAAAGGGAGCCCAGCAAGGCTGGCCCACAGGTCATGAGAGTGGGGGCCTTGGGAACACTTCAGCCCTCCTAGAAAAAGGTCATGTGCCAGGGCCACGGGTCTCGGGCCCATTCCCGAGGTGCCCCCACCTGGGCCCTGTCGGAGAAGAGCTGCAGTGTCACTCAGTAGAATGGGCAGCACACATCTCCTTTACATCATCTTTCCAAAAGGAAAAGAAACTGCTCCACACAGCCCAGGGTGTCCTCCACAGGGATTAGATGAGTAACCATCTCATGTGTGTTCTGGGCCGCTTGCTCAAAGGTGGGGTGAGAGAAAGCCTGCTGACGTGAGCCGCGTTCCCAACCAAACGCTGATGGGCAGGAAGAGATGATCAGTATCTTGTACAGTGTGGTACTGTTGCTACTGGCCTGTTCCCTGATAGGGATGTCGGGGCAGGATGGAACCGTATCAGCTCCTGAAAATCTACCTCTCCAGACAGACAGACGCAGCTACAGACTATATATACATGTAATCTGTCTAATGCATATGTACATAGATATATCCTATACACACGTATGACTCAGGAAGAAAATATCCCAATTGTGAATATTGGTGAGAATGGAATTAGTAATTTTACTTCCTCCTTTGTGTTTAATGGCATTTTAAATGTTAAACAAATGTATTATTTGGTTAACTTTTTCCTTCCTATTTATTTCCTTTTTTGGTAGCGTTTGTCTATCACCTGGAGGATCGCAGAGATAAAGCGGGTATCCCTTTTGCAGCAGGGAAAGCCCTCTTTGGGCATATATGCTAGCCAGTGTTGTCCTTTTTTTTTTCTTTAAGTTAAATCAAGGCCTTGGGAGGTGGCCCGGGGTGGCCGGCCGGAGCTGGCTCAGGGGCGCGCGCGGGCCAGGGGGACTAAGGGCTGGCGGATGCCGAAGTCGCTCCCGGGCCGTCCCGTGCCCAGGCCCTTGGCTTTCCCTCCAGGTACCACCTCGTGGTGATCGCCCTCATCTACGTGCTGCCTCTCGTGGTGATGCTCCTCGCCTACAGTGTCATCGGCCTCACGCTTTGGAGACGCGAGGTTCCCAGGCACCAGGTGCACTGCGCCAGCCTGCGCCCCCTGCGGGCCAAGAGGAAGGTGGGCGCCGGGGACGGGGCTCGGGGGGGGCGGGGTCGGCTCGGGCCCCGCCCCGGGGCCCCGCCCTTCCGGGCTCGAAGCCCGCCCCTACGGCGGCGCCGTTGAGGACCGGATCCACCCTAACTTGCGCTTGTCCCAAGTCCCAGACCAGAGTCCGAGTTCATTCTTCCTAAGACGACAGAGTTGCCTTTGGCCCTTGGCCAAATGCGAAGTTAAAGGAACTCCCCCAAAATGTTTTGAGAATCAGAGAATCCTAAAGCCCCAAAGAATTTCAGATACCCCCAAGAATCTTAGAATGATTGACTCTCAAAATCTTAAGACTTTCTGAGTAATCGGAGTGTTGAATTTAAGAAGCCCCACAGAACTACTACGGGAGGCTCCTATTTAGAATCACAAGAGAATTCTCAAATGCTGGAACTGCAGGCCTCCAATCCGAGATCACGGAGACTGGATTGGAGTCCAGCAGCACCCAGTCTGCCTTCAATTTCCAACCCAAGTGCCAGTGTCCATCCCTCCTCCCCGCCATTCAGGGTCCCCCAAGGTCCTGATACAGCATTCTATGATTCAGACCTCCTCCACTGTCTCCTAGTCAAAGCTTATCTTTGCCGTGGCCCTTCCTGTTAGGCGTCCAGGGAAGGTAATGGTTAATGCCATCATGTATCAGGTCACTGTCTTGGCTTCAGGTCTACTATTGGGCATTTTTCATAGGACAATTCAGGGAGGTAGTCAGATATGGGACACTGTCTGAGTGTCCCTCCTTGTGAAGAGCTGGTCTCCACTTGCCATCGCTGGCTTGCCCTCCATTCCTCGTGGGGTACTGGGCCAGTTTAGGAGGGCCTGCAGAGACCAGGCTTGAGGGGGGAAGATCAGGGAGCTGACTCCTGGGCAGAGGCTGGGATGCCCGACTAGAGTCTCACTACCTGTGGATAGAAGGGCTATGGCAGACACAGATCCCAGGGAGAGGGGCACCTGAGAACCCATAGTTAGCATAGGGGATCCCCCAAGGATGGGGTTAGGAGCTCACCCGCTCTCCAGGGAGGGGAGCTGCTCTGAACGAAGGGGTCTGGGACACCTGCTAGATGAGGTGGCCTCCGAGCTGGGCTTCAAGGAGTGAGGACTCGAAAGAAAGAACAGCAGTGTGGGCAGAGGTGCAAGGCCCAGCAGTCAAGGCTGCTTATGCTCCAAGGGACTGAGGGCTTCCATGAGGGGTGCCCTGCCACCACCCTTGGAGGATTGGGCTGTGGTGCTTCCAGGCTGAGGTGTGACCTGAGCCTCTCCCGGCCCAGTTCGTGAAGACCATGGTGCTGGTGGTGGTGACGTTTGCCATCTGCTGGCTGCCCTACCACTTCTACTTCATCCTGGGCAGCTTCCAGGAGGACATCTACTACCACAAGTTCATCCAGCAGGTGTACCTGGCGCTCTTCTGGCTGGCCATGAGCTCCACCATGTACAATCCCATCATCTACTGCTGCCTCAACCACAGGTGAGTCCTCATCCCAGCCGCCCTCTCCTCAGCCCTCAGGAACCCTTGGCTTGGCCCCTGCACAGTGTGAGCCTGTGCCTCCCACCCCCGCACGGGATTGCTGTCCTCACACTGAGCCCACAGCACAGTCCTCAAGCCAGGCCTCTGGCCGTGGCCTGGCTTGAGCCCCTCCTCCTCCCCAAACCCTTGTCCTGTTGCCCAGGCCACAGTTCTCCCCGTCCATCTGCTCCTGCTCTCTCTTCAGGGGCTACATCTGGGACCAGGAGAAGAGAGAAGGGAGGGACAGAGAGGTGGAGGGAGGAGGAGAGTCAGAGAGAGGCCGCAGGGCGGACAGAGAGGGAGAAAGGAAGGAGCCAGTAAAGGAGGGCGGGACTTCCTCTGTCGTGACATTTTTAAGAGCTTCCCCTAATGAGACGTTTCCTTGAGCCAGGTGACCGCTCCAACCCCAGCAGTATGAAGCACTCAGCTGGGGGGGCCCAGGGCCAAGACTGGAGAGGGAGCAGACTGCTCCCCGGGGAGATCAGAGGGCATTTCCTGCCGCCAGGGGGGATTTCTGGGGCCGCTGAGGAGTGACCTTGGCAGAGACAGCCAGGAAGGAACCAAGTTCTCACTCCTCCCTCAGACACACCTGGTTGCCCCACCCCATACTTCTGGTGAATCAGAGTCCCCCAGAGGGGCTGGCGTTTGCTCTGGGGCACCTGGAGAGGTGGAAGGCCTCAGAAAACCCTGAAAGGGGGGTCAGGTAAGAGGAGATGAGAGGTGAACACTGAGTCCTGGTCTCTACAAGACAGCCATGTGGGTAAGGTTGGCCATGGGCCTCCGTGTTCATGCCTTTTATCACCTGCCTGCCCACGTGTCCAGGCCACTCATGATGCCATTAGGGTCCTTGTTGCCCAGATATCCCAGCCACCTGGGGCAGGCCAGGAGGAAGTGAGAGAACTGTGATTTTTTTTTTTTTTTCGAGTGTTTAATGGGTGCCAGAACCCTCCATTGTCTCCTGAGAGGTAAGAAGTAGATGATAGGAGGAAGGGAGGTGTCATCCCCATTTTACAGATGAGGAAACTGAGCCCCAGAAAGGAAGACTCCTAAACTCATACAGCAAGCAGTGGAGCCAGAATACCATAGATCTCCAAGGCCTGTAACCTTGGCCCCACATCACACCTTTCTCTTGATGCAGCTTCTAGGAGAACTTGGACTCAGGAACTGTCATAATCAGGGAGGGGCCCCCAGCACTCCATGTGTGTGCAATGGTCACTCTCCCATTACCCAGTGACACAGTCCCTGAGGGTCTGAGCAAGTCCCCAGGCTCTACTCATTTCTGAAATAACTTCAGAATCTTCAGTAGTTGGTGCCTTTAGCTCTAAAGCAGGACTGATGCTCCTGGCAGGAGGCTTCATTCAGAACCTGTTCACAAGTGACTCCGTGTACCCGGCCTGTTCCAAGCCCCTGGGATACCCCAGTGAACAAAAGCAATGGTTTCTTTCCTTGGGGAGCTGACATTCTAGTGGGGAGACAGACAATAAGCAAGTGTAAGGAGTGGATGAATCACATAGTGTATTAGGTGGTAAGTTCTATAGAAACAAGGAAAACCAGAGCTGGGGATGGGAGGACCAGAAATGCCAGGGGGAGGAGTGGGCACAGGGGTAGCAATTTTATAGCATGGCCAGGTTTGGCCTTATTGAGGATTCTTTTGAGCAAAGATGATTGAATGGGCCCTGCAGCTGTGTGGGAAAAGGCTCCAAGCAGAGGGAACAGCCAAGGCAAGGGTCCTGCGGTCATGATAAGGCCTTGGGCCAGGACTCTGCCACGAGGAGTCCAGTGGAGCTCTGAGTTGGGAGACACCTACGCTGACTTCCCTTTTAAAAGAATCCATCTGGCCATGTGTTGGCACTGGACCACAGCAGCGGGGCAAGCAGAGAGGCAGGGGGGTGGGGAGGCTGTTGCAGAGATGACGGTGAGAGGTGGGGAGGGGGTTCAGATGGGGGAGAGATGTGGTCAGAGTCGGACTATTACTAAGGTAGAGCCAACAGAACCTGACGGAGAGGAGGTGACATGTGTGAGAAGTCAAGGCTGACTCAAAGGTTCCAGGCCTGAGCAGCTGGAAGGACAGACTTGCCAGTTGTCAGGAACTGAGATGGGGACGCTGGCGAGTGGGGGGGGGGGGGGACATGCTGAGTGTGAACAGGAGGGGCAGAGGCCACGAAGCTCCCACAGGAGAGGCGTTTGTTGGGCCACACCATGGAATATTGTAGAGCTGCAAGGTGAGGAACCGAAGTCAGGCCTGCTCTTCTGGAACATGGCACCCTGCGTCTCCTGGGAACAGACAAGCGGCTGTCACCCAGGGTCCCCTTGATCTCTGCTCCTCTCGGACAGGCCAGTGTTCTCTTTCTCACGGCCCATTTCCTCCACTGCCGTCTGCTTCCCCTTCTAATTTACCTTTAGTCCGGCCATGGGGAGAGCTACTTTTTAAGCAAATATACCAAAATGTAGTAGTTCTCTGTGCATGACTTCTTTCAGAGCAACCCCCCTTGGGAGAGCATCCTTACTCTGCCCAATACTGCCAAAGCCCAAACTTCTTAAGACTCCTCTAGAATATTCCTTTAGAAGCCAGTTAACAAGCCAAACAAGAAAATCTGTTATTTCTTTAGTTGTATTTGGTTTCTTTCTGTCTGTAATAACAAATGGTCTAATTAGGCTTAATCACCCACTTCAATCACTAGATTTAGCTCCAGATTCCTTCTGGGCGTTTCCAAAACTCAAATCCACTCAGGAACAGTGAACAATGACAGACGGGGGTAAGAGGACGACTTTCCTTTGGAGGGGAGATCAGCTCCTGGAGGTGGGGGCAGTTCCCGGACTGTTCCCCTCACCCCTCTGCTCAAGGTGACCCTCCATCTCCTAGGTTTCGCTCTGGATTCCGGCTTGCTTTCCGTTGCTGCCCGTGGGTCACACCGACTGAGGAAGATAAGATTGGGCTGACTCACACTCCATCCCTTTCTAGGAGGGTCAACAGGTGTCACACTAAAGAGACTTCTTTCATGGCTGGGGATACTGCCCCCTCTCAGGCTACCAATGGGCAGGCCAGGGGTCCCCAAGATGGGGTACCTACTGAACCCTGAAGCCTTGTGCCTGGCACCCTTGGAGGAGTAGCCAGTTGAGAGGTCCAGATCTAGAAGTTTGACCCATGCCCCAGGCTTCAGTACATCAATGGAAAAACAAGATGGGGCCAGGAGCTCTGCAAGTGGATGCTAACTCTAAGAGGGCCCAGCCGCCCCTCTGACAGGGCTTCACAGCAACAAGAGTCCAAGAAGAGAGTGTGAGCTAACACTTATCTCATCCAGGAGTCACAAGCAGGGATGGCTTCCTGGGGCATACAACCTGATGAGTGCCTTCCAGCGTTGGGGGTAACAGGCAACGGGAGGAAGAGGAGGGCGTACGCATCCAAAGGGGACAGCAGCTGACCAGCTCTGGACAAATGTCATGAGTTAATGGGCGCCCCCCATTGTCAGATCTTACGGATCTTTCAAGACACGACGGAAATCCAAATTTGTGAGACTTCCAGACTTGTTCCATTTGGCTCACATTTTTATAAATATTGGTTAGACCAAACAGAACACACCTGGGGACAGCACCCAACCATGGTACTGATTTATTATCAGGCTAAAGACCCAGGGAGGGAGCTTCTTATTTTGCAAAGCCCATCACCTGTGAGTCGACCCGGGGCTTCTGTGCTTCGGCATCTAACTCAGACCCAGCTCAGTGCCCACCGTGGGTAAGAGTCAAAAGGAGCCGCGGCTGTGTTGCCTCGGACAAGTCCCTCTTACCCTCCGCCTCTTCTTCTCCCAGTGACAAAACTGCCTCACAGGGATGCTGGGAGGAAGACTGAAGTGAGGCCTCTAAACTAGCGTCAAGTGCTGAATAACCAGCAGGCATGATTCTTATCCCCGCCAAGCCGGCCGTGTTATGCGGACACCTCCAGGACACGAGCAGCGGGGGTCACGCTCACTCTGGCAGCGGGCAGGGGGCGGGCAGGGAACGCCAAGCATCTCGACTCCCGGAGAGCTCTGGGCCTGGCCCGGTGCACCGCAAGGACACCCTTCTCCCTGACCGCTGCCTCACCCTGTGCGCCCCATTTGCCCCTCCAGAAGAACCACGTGACACTATAAATGTACGGCAAGAGGGGCGTCTGCCTTCGGCTCGGGTCATGATCCCAGGGTCCTGGGATCGAGCCCCGCACTGGGCTCCCTGCTCCACGGGAAGCCTGCTTCTCCCTCTCCCACTCTCCCTGCTTGTGTTCCCTCTCTCGCTGTGTCTCTCTATGTCAAATAAATAAATAAAATCTTATAAAAATTTAAAAAAAAACAGCACAGCAAGAGAGTTTAATGCTAGGTGTGATCCCCCCAGAGATCATGGTGCCCGATAAAGGGGCTCTGGCCTTAACCCGCCCAGGGCACGAGAGGCGGGCTGATGTGGTACCCACTGGCGGGCCATGGGGTGAATCAGCAGCCTCAGGGTTGAGGTGGGGCAGGGATGAAAGGGTCAGGTGAGGAGCGGTTTCCTACAGAAGGGATTCTTTTAAAAGGGGAGAGGAGGACCGTGCAGGCAACCTGCTCCCGGGGCTGCAGCAAGACGTCATCCGTGTTAGAGCAGGGTCTATACCCTCTGTTCCCTTGGAGTTGGCAGACAGTGATGAAGGGCAGGGTCTGCTTGGGGACGGCAGTGAGGAAAGCCAATGTGCACTGTCCTCTCATTAAACCCAAACAGTCCGTGGGAGCCCAGAGGCCTTCCACCGCTTTACCTTCCTAACGGTGCGGGGTTGAGACCCTGGGGCTGTGGCAGGGAGCTGGCCAGGCCGGTGCTGGAAAACAAGGACAGAGGCTAGCTCGGTGACACTGCAGAGAACAGAGAAGTGATGCTACTAAACGAAGGCTGGGGGCTGAAGCACTCTCCCCCCACCCCCCAGGATCCCCAGGGCATGGCCTCCCACCTTCTCCGGCCAACAAGCATCAACTCGGGGTCTTTGAATTGGTACAAAGTTTACTAGGTCATACAACGTGGCTCACAAAAGCAATGGGGAATTCCAACGAGGGCACTGTTTGTTGGTTTCGTTCCTTTTACCCAAATGGAGACAAGACATTTTCCCACAGAACTGCCCACCTCCCCCCACCCCCAAGACAGACAGAAGGCAAGACTGTCACAACGTGGCTCTGACCAGTTCCACGGACACACGATTCAGTGGCACGGACACGTCTCGATGGGAACCTCGGGACGCCAGACAGCAGTGGGGGCTGGGACGGGAGGAAGCCACTAAGATGCCCCTGGGAGGAGGAGTCCCGGCAGTGTCTGCTGGTGATAATACATTTCACATGGGGGAGGGGTCCCCAAGGACGGGCTGCGGAGGCCCCTAAGGCCTGTCAGATGGCGTGACTTTTCATCTTGGGCCAATAAATAACTCTGTCGGACGAATGCAGAAACTGGAAATGGGCGCCACTACACTTCACACGTGGGGAGCGGACGACCAGGTTGAAATCGGATCATGCAGAGTGGCAGGGCAGGTGAGGAGGGGCCGGAGTGGGGAGAGATTATCAACAGCACACGCTCTATTTTGTACCCTACGTTATGCGCCGGTAGTTGGCTTGCGGCCCCTCCCGCTGCGGCGGAGGTGGGCTCTGGCGCCGGCGGCTCCCGGCCCAGCTCGCTGGGAGGGACGGGGGTGGCCGCCCGAAGAGAGACGTGCTGGAGGGGCAGCAGGCCGGGGGGCCAGTACCCTTAGCTGCTCATCTCTTCCCGGAGCCGGACGCCCACTGCCGTGATGAGGGCAGCCCCCTTGCCGCTACCGTCTTCGGACAGGAGGAAGGACACGTTACATTTTGGGGACAGTTCCTTCACGGTTTGGTACATGATTCCAGAGAAGCTGAGAAAGAACAACACACGGAGGAGGAGGGTAAGTGGAGAAGATGAGAAGAGATGCTGGGCCCGCGCGAGGACGCCGCAGGACCCTAACGACAGAGGATAAGCAAGACGGGAGGGGCTTCTTGGGAAGGGTTGCGGGGACACCGGATCTGCCGCCGATTCTACGACCCCAGTTTTCAGCATGGAGAAACAGCTGAGAATCCAAACAGATGTGACTGGACGGCTTATCAGGACGAGGGCAGGAATAACGCACAAACACACTCATCCCCCAAGCCCGAGGCGTCTGGGGGACCAGATACCGATTAGGGTACCAGGGCCTGGCCCCCTGAGATCCCCAGCCCATCACCAGCCATGGCCCAACACCTGGCCTCCGAGGCCAAGAGCGGCAGGCCCCCGGTGAGAGAGAATCTCTCAGTGACAGGTGACTCTAGGTTCCCACACCATGCGCTGACGGGGACACAGGGCCAGGCTGACGCAGCTCAGGGCAATGGAGGTGACACCACCTGCCCGCTGTGGCACCCCTTCCAGGGCCTGCCCCACACCTTCTATGCTACCTTCCAGTCCTGCCCGTGCCCATCAGCCCCTGAGGACGAGGACACTTGGCAGCTGAGCACTTGAGCATAGCTTCCAAATGATGGTGCGGGGATTAGATAAGTGTGTATGGCTCCAAAACCTAGCTCTGAGCCACGGCAGTGTGCTGCCCCAGGTGACGAAGAGGACAGCTACGGAGGTGGGGGACAGGTGCAGATGGAGCAGGGCAGTTGGCTCCCTCTGCAGCCACGGCCGTGAGGTAAGCAGCGAATGCCTACGCTGATGTGGGTGAGGCTGCTTTTAAGGAGAGTGACATTATGGCCCAGTTTACCAGGGATGGTCCCAGTGTAATTATTAGTGCAGTCTCTTCACTGGCAAAACCACCCCAGTTTAGACAATAAGTAATAGGGTCACTCTATTCATAAGGGCTAAGCTTTGGGATATGTGGCCGATCAAAGGGCAGGTGGGGCCGAATATCCTCCTTCAGCACAGAGTGTCAGACCCTTGACCATAAGGAGCCCACTCCCCATCCCTCTTCCTACCTTGCAATCCTCTTGAGAAACTGATTTAGCAGGTGAACAAGACAAGGTGTCCTCCTCCCTCCGTCCTTCACTCCCTCTCCCCACTTACCAGACACAGCCTCCTGGCCGGGCTGCAGCTACCCAGGCGGATGAGTAAGGCCACAGTCGCCCTTCCCTCAGACTCTGCCTGACCTAAGGGGGCCCCAGGAGGAATGGGGAGAGGGACATCTATGCCACTGGTGTGAGCTGAACCAAGTGAAGCCACTCCTCTCCAAGGATCTCAGTTAAACTTCGAAGCAGCTCATCACCTGGTCCCAGAGAAGGCCCAGGCCCTAAACGCACAGCCTTCGGGTCAGCTGGGTCCTGGTGAGGAATTCTTCTGGTGCGACTCACATCCTGCTGTCCCATAACCCATCAAGGGACCTCAGCAGCCCAGGACGCCCTGCCCACCCAAGCAGAAGCCCCACTCACTGCGGATGAAGCTTGTAGAGTGTTCCATCCACGCCCACAGTCACGTTGAGGTGGTCCAGCCCTCTGTTCTCGCGGATCTTGTCCACCACGGCGGCCATGCCCGCACCGCACAGCTGCGCAGCCCTCTTGGACACCACCCCGCACACGGTCTTGACCAGGATGCTATCGTCACAGGTGCTGTTCAGGCCCAGCTGCTGCAGGATGGCCCGCACCTGGAGCAGCGCTAACCGGTCACTGCGGTGGACAAAAGCCAAGAAGGCTGGATGAAGCGGGGCCCTGCAGAGCAGCCTGGGAGCCGACGCCGGGCGACCAGCCCCAAACCACCGTACTTACCACGAGTAGGGTTGTGGGGGCTTCCTTCCTCCAAATCAACATTTATTTGTATTAATTTATTTCTTTTTAAAGACATTATTTTTTTTCAAGTAACCTCTACACCCAGCCTGGGGCTCGAACCCACAACCCTGAGATCAGGAGCTGCGTGCTGAGCCAGCCAGGCGCCCCAGCTTTTACGACCATTCTAAAAACAAGGTGGCTTTTGCTTGGGCAGAGCACGCTGCACCTCCTCTCACAGCTCACCAAGGAAGAGGGCAAAAGCCTTTGCCCAGGGAGGAAGCAATCACCGCACACAAGAAAACGGGAGGAAGGCAAAGCCACTTGCCGTGGGGCACACTTCCTGGGTGACCAAACAGCCCGATCCCAGGCTGCCTTTCAGATGAGTGCAGGTGGGACTAGACCTGTGGCTCTTGGCTCTAGTGGACTCAGCGCCCTTCAACACAGGTATCCGTGATGCACCTTTATCCTGAAATGGAGTCCATACACCTGACTTCCAAATATACATAATGCTCCAACATAAAGCATGAAGAAAAGGAAAATCTTTTATAATAAAATTATATGATTTCAGTATGTAGCTGCTCAGGGCCTACTACTCCAGAGGGTTAGAAACACCCTCACAGGGGTGCCTGGGTGGCTCAGTCGTTAAGCGTCTGCTTTCGGCTCAGGTCATGATCCCAGGGTCCTGGGATCGAGTCCCGCATCGGGCTCCCTGCTCCGCGGGAAGCCTGCTTCTCCCTCTCCTACTCCCCCTGCTTGTGTTCCCTCTCTCGCTGTGTCTCTCTCTGTCAAATAAATAAAATCTTTAAAAAAAAAAAAAAAAGAAACACCCTCACAAATGACAACGTCCCATGAGGTGCCTCCCCACCCATCACGACCTCCCCTGGCCACACAGACCTCTAACAGACCTGCAGGGACGCCCCTCATCACTCACCTCTCAATCTGGGAAAGATATTTGGTCTGAAAGATGCCCCGGGTCTTCAGTGTCTCAGAGATCTGCCCTCGGAAGAGGAACCCCTTCTTGGTGAAGTCGATCAAGATGTTGCGGACGATCTCACCCAGGTACATACCGCTAATCATCTTCTCAAACCTGAACCAAGAGCAGGGGCTGGTGTCTATGTGAAGCCTTTGGTCTCCCAGTAGCCCCGCGGAGGCATCACCAGCCTGCACACCCAGCCCTGTGCCCCTCAGCAGAGGCAGAGGGAGGCCAGGAAGGGCTAAGGGATCCTCAACCCTCCCCAGGATCAGAACCGAAATCACCAGCACTCACATCTAACTGCTGGGCCATCTCCCTCCTGCCACTGCCCGGCAGAACCCCACTCGGCTCTCAGCTCAAAACTCTCCTCCAAGAGGCCTGTCCTTCTCCCCGCGACCGAGTTCTATCTGCCTGTCTCAGGCTCCCATACACCCTCCCTTCCCCGTCACAAGGCCCACAGGCATGCTGCCTCTCCAGCAGAAGCCTGGAGAGCCTGGAACCAGTGTCCTGCTCAGCTTTGAGGCCCAGGGTCTGCACAGCCCAGCGCTAGGCTCTCAGTCAAATGCTCAATAAATATCTGCATAATAAGCAAACAACCAGTCTGAGTCTTAAAGGGACAAGAAGACAAGGGGGGCAAAATTCCCACTAGATTTCTGGAAGGTTTTGAAAAAGCCCAGAGTGCTGGTCAAGCCCCCAGCACAGGGAGGAAGCCACCCAGGCTGGAGGGTTCGGGCGGCTGCCGTGCTCCGGACGGCAACCTGTTCTGGGCCTTCTGACTCCTGCCCTCGCCATGCTCAAGTCCCAGTGTCCCCAGGCTGGGAAGAGTCCACTGGACACTCCAGAGGATGTCAGGCGCGCCACAGAAAAAACCCATGAGACTGCACTATTATTATCAGTCCTCATCCAGTCCCTCTCACACCGTGAAGGACACCAGCTGAGTGCGGTGCTGAAGGGGCTCTAACCCCCTCCACCACCTGCTACCTCCCTGCCAACCAAGGGGGTCTATGGTAGGCAATAGGAGCTAGAATTGAGTGACACTGATCTTCGCTATGTCATTTTATGATTATCATCTATTTACGATAATACTGGTTTCCCCTTTTTTCTCCCTTGTTAAATTTAAGTGAAAAATAGAAGCTGACTTAAAGAAAACCATTAAGTAAATAACAGCGCAGGTGTCTCTAGAAAAGGCAAAAATCTTGAGGGCGGCTGGGAAACAAGTCTTATTTGGGAGGTGCCATCCCCCCCACTGCTTCTTCCTGCTCCTGGGGACATGGCTCGGACAAACCCATCCCGGCAATGGCAGAGGATGACCTGCGTCCTGGGAGCCCGAGACAAGGAGTCCTCGGTCTGTCTGCAGGGAGGACAGACACTGCCATCTCAGGCAGGATGTCTGGGACCCAGGCTCCCACCAGCCATGAGGCGGTGCAGGAGGCTGGGGAATGACGAAGAGAAGCCCCCACTGGCCACATCCTAATTCACCGTGCCCTTTGACAACTGCAGGTCAAGTGCACTTTACTTCCACCAAACAAAACAAAAACCTGCTGACCAAAGGCTTCTATTAGTCTGATGGGGAAGAAGTACAGAGCACTGGAGACCAGAATGTTCCAGAATGAACACGGTCACTGCGGGAAGTGGCGTGGCCGCTGCCACCCTGTCCTCTGGGCAGACTCCCGGCAGAGGAGCACCTGGCCAGGACATCAACCTGGCCCACGCATACCATCCTCCTGGCTCTCTGCTCTCCTTGAACCAAAAGCAAAGGTCAGGAGGGAATCTGAGGGGCTAGTCTCTAAGCCTCTGTCCAGACTCCACTCCTACTAGAAACTTCTTCTGCTTTAACAGGCAGAACACAGCCTTCCACCCTCACCGTCCTGGCTCCCGCATGTGTCCTCCTCCACCAAGCAGTTACCTTTGCTTCCCAGCGTTTAGAGAATATTCATCCACCAGTCTGTCATAGATTGTTCTGATATCATCTAGACACCCGTTGTCCCCAAAGGCACCCCACTCCATGTTGATGCACATGCGCCCGTCATTCCCCTCCAGCATCTCGACATTCTTCATTTCTTCCATGTAGCAGGCATTGCTTCCGGTCCCTGCAACACACGAGGAGGGCAATGAACGGCCGAGCCATGGGGCCTGGGGTTGCGGGGAGGGCCTGGGGCCGGGGACTCCACAGAGAGGGGGTACATTTCTGAGATGAATAAAGCAACAGCTTTGCTTTCCTACTGTTTCCCAGGAAAACCTCGAAACAGAAAAGGAGAGTCAGAGTTAAACTACCCAGAGAGCACCTGATTCACTTACTTTATACCAGGATGTCAATATCGAGAGCCTCGAGTGTGTGCCTGCCCAGGCAGGGCTCTGTTTATTTTTATAGAAGACGGTCTGACAACAAAAAGATATGTCTTCAATGGCAAAAGTTTAGGCAATATTCAGATTGGAGGGATATTTCTCTCTCTCTCTCTCTACACACACACACACACACACACATATATACACAACTGTACACACACACGCATATCTATAAAATACTACACTGGGGGGTCGTCTACCATCACACCATGGATGTCCACTTATCTTTACGGATCAAACATGGTCATGGACTATGCCGGCCCAGTCCACTCTCCCATGTGTTTCAGAATGAAGCCCACAGCTAGTTCAGGGAAGGCCCGTGTCCCCAGCATGTCAGTGGCGCCTTTCCAAAGGTGATGGTGCCTCGTCATTTTGATGTCACAGCCCTCTTTGAAAACCTGATGATTCTCCTTGGATGCACACACTGCACACGCACAGTCTGACATACAGTTCCCAGAGGCTCAGGAGCCTGGGCTCTCCATCCCTGAACTGCCCAGGCTGTGGCCCCGCAGGGACTGGGGTGGAACCACCAACGGTTTGCTGTTCTCGTCCCTGAGGAGCTGAGTACAGAAACTGAGAGGAAGTGTATAAAACGTTCACAGCAGTTTCTGTCGCCATGACATCCAAGCCCATGGTCGTCGGCCTTGTCTCAGTGAGTGGACTAGAAAATGTAAAACCAACCAACTAACCAACCAAGGAATACTTCTCCCAGATATTTTAATCTGCACCCCAGTCACCTGGGGAGCTTATTAAGATGCAGATTCTGGGGCGCCTGGGTGGCTCAGGTGGTTAAGCGACTGCCTTCGGCTCAGGTCATGATCCTGGAGACCCGGGATCGAGTCCCGCATCGGGCTCCCTGCTCAGCGGGGAGTCTGCTTCTCCCTCTGACCCTCCCCCCTCTCATGCTCTATCTCATTCTCTCTCTCAAATAAATAAATAAATAAAATCTTAAAAAAAAAAAAAAAGATGCAGATTCTGATTTGGAAGATCAGGGGTGGGGCCTGAGACTCCGCATTTCTAACCCGCTGGTTACACTCCGTGTAACCAGGCCCCAGAGCACCACCAGCCCAGCCTCGGTGGGATGTAGGCGGACTTTCAGCCCCCTTGGGGGACACAAGGCAATCCCCACTGGCCTGACCAAAAGGGCTTGTTTTCGTTCCCTTTAAAGAAACTTCCATAGAATTCACAGACGCTTCTCCCTGTGTCACTGGATTGTTTGGGGTTTTTGTTTTCTCAGCTCCCTTTCACCCCAAAGTGTGAAACTGAGAGAAGAGGAGCCCCAGAAACAGCCAGGGGTGCACAGAAAGCCAAAACATAGAAATCACACTTTTTGCCAATGAGCGCTGGGACCAAAGAGATGGATGGATGGAAGAAGGAGAAAGTGGGTGTGAGTGCAGCCGGGGCTGGGACAATGTCCGCCCCACTCGCTCACTCTTCACCTGGTGCCAGGTGCCAGGAACGGCTCAATCAGGCGGCCCTGAACTGGGCAGGAAGGCCAGACCCGGCGCTGCAGTGGGGAATGTGCTTTGTCACTCTGGATTTGCATGTCACACCTAAGCCCATTCATAAGCAGAGGTGCAGGGGCTGGGTGGGGACAGAAAGCTTTGCAAAAGAAAGGAAGAAACAAAACAGCCCCTGAGTCAAGCCCCCAAAACCTTACACTTGCAGCTGCTCCCCAGTTTTCAGAATTTCCTCAGGAGCCAAAAATGGCTTCACAAATGAAAAGGTCTCCCGAGCACCAGGAAGGCCGCCTTCAGGGGCCTTATCCCCATCTCCCAGACACTTAGCAAAGGGTCTGCCCGGCAGGGCTACCAGCCCTCCTCATCCAGGTAGGGCCTGCAGAGGTTGGCCACGAAACAGGGCCTTCTCCCAGCATCCTGACACCAGGAGCAGGCTCAATGGGACAAATGGTCTTCTCACAGCCCGGATTGATGTGCTTCAGGAATGACGTGCTCTCAAGTCCAGATCCCTCATGTGTCTGGACCATAAGGGAACCCGCAGAGCCAACCTCTCTGCGACCCACTGAAGTGGCTGGGATTGCTCAGAGACGGTGGCTGCCAGAGGCAAAATGGTGCCCAAGACTAGTCTCTGGCCCTTGCCCACAGTCAGGGGAGAAGGAGAGCTCTGTTGCCTTCCCAATCGCAGGCTCCCACCCCTCAACACCTGTCTGGTGGCCCTCCCTATAAGCCCAGTAGTTGCCCTGATGGCCAAGCCGGCCCCAGGTACTCCCACCCCGTCCACCCAAGCCATGTGAGCCATCTGGGGCCTCATCCAGGACAGCTCCGTTTTGACAAGCTGGTCACGAGCCTTGAGGTGAGTGTTGGGGAGCAGAAAGTCCCCTGACAGCTCTGCAACCTCGGTCCAAACTCTGGAGGCAGTAAGGGGACAATAGGGACAGATACAGTGTCCCTCACAGAGGACTGAGCTGCCGGCTCATGGCCCCACAGAACAGGAAAATGCCAAAGAGGGAGACGTTCCAGGACACCCACCTACGATGAGTCCAACCTCGCAGGTAGGCTCCTCGTAAGCACAGGTCATCATGGTGCCCACCGTGTCATTGACCACAGCCACCACGTCCAGGTCAAATTCCTTGGGGAAGAAAGGGACACAGCTTTAGGGGAGGGACAGCGCTGCCTGATGCCTCATCTGAAATAGTTTCCTTACCAGCCATTAAAAAGGTAGTAAAATATTCCTTCACTGACTAACCACCTACTATTAATGATGTATCTGACACTGGAGATCTAAAGAAAGGAAGCATTCTACCCATTTCACAGATGATGCCGAGTACCAGAGAGGCAGCCTGGAGGGAACTGTTGAATGGAGAAAAGACGAGGGACTGTGGCCAAATAGCTCTCTCTCTGAGGAGCTCAGAGTGTTACAGTCTTCCAGAAGGCAAAACGGAACTACCAAACCCACTCCTCAGAATCTGTCCTTCTGAAATAGCCATGCAGGTACACAAAGATACCTACTGCATGCATGGTTTGCAGGGACCAGAAAGAGAAACAACCCAAATATAGATCAAAAGGGGCGATGTAAGACACGGGTTCGTACGTGTGTTTGGTCTCTGCACAGAGCGTAGGTTGGAAGAATGCTAACATGAAGAGTGGGGACATGGGCAAAAGTAGGTCAGCGGGTTTCTTTCCAACGGGATGTAAGTTGTCTCGCATACTCTGCCGAGTGCAACCAATCCCTCTTTCAAAAACCCATTCACGTCAGCCTTCCCCACTGCCTGTGTATTTGGCTGCTCTTCTGAACTAGAGGCATTTGAACTTTTTTTTTTTTTAACTAATTCCCTCATTGATAAGTCAAGTAAAATCTTTCGAATTTTCCATTTTATATTTTGTCAATGTCCTCCAGCCAAAGACCACCAGAAACACACCTGTAGTCAAACAGAGCTGGTAACAGGGACTGGGTCCCACATGGGCAACATAGCTTGTGGGGCATCTCGGAACGGGTTAGAAAGCACCCACTCCGGATTTGAGCCTGGGTCAGGGGTTTCGGGGGCGCTCAGAGTGGGGCTTGCTCTGGCCTGGAGGCTGTCCGGAAGCAGGGCAATCCTGAGTGTGTGCTGAGTGCTGACGGGAGTACAGACTTGGCTCCTTCTTGTCTAATTCCACCAGTTGCGGAGTGACACTGCATGTTCAATAGGGGGCCACCAAGGCTGACAGCGCCAGGCCATGCCTGGCTGCCGGGGGCTGCTTTTCTCTTTTTCAAGCTGTCAGGGAGTCCTGATTTTACCTTTCTTAAACCATCCTTTAACAACACAAAACTGTTCACCTCCGTTTTACTGCTGACGGTGTAGGGAACCCTCTTACCCAGGTCATGCATGCTTCTGTATTGTTTGAATTCTTTACGACCCAGCAAGGACAATTTTTATAACCCCCCGAACAGTGAAGATTTTTAAAAACATCCTTTTAATAGTTACCTCTCTCCTTTTTATTGCTTCCCTTAGTAATGTTGCTACATCGTGCCCCACGCAGTCGGTTGCCTTAAAACCCTTTGTCCAGGTGATCAAGATTCCCTGAAAGAGCAAAGGCACCAGGAGAGTCCTGTGTAATCAACCCTTCTGGTGAGAATATAACATTTCACTCTCTCCTTCCTGAGTAAATATCTGCTGAGAATTTACAGGGAGACTAGGTTAGAGCATCTGAGGCTCAAAGCAGTAACAGAGAAGGAGCCCTCCAAGGGCCCGCCCCCTCCTAACCGTTCCCCAAGGCAGTCTGGTCCATAATGCCCATTTCACAGATGGAGAAACTGAGGCATAGGAGGATAATGGTGGGGCCCCTGGTATAACCAACTAGTTCCCCTAAAGAACAGTCTGCCAACAACATAAATGGAGAAATGCAAATTTTTAGTAACACTGTTACTGCCTAAAGTGAACTTTTGGTTTGAATGAAGTTGAGCATTTGCTGGGTGTGTACTCAACTACGATGAATACAGATGACGGTGTAAGTGAACTCCTTAAACAATGCAGACCTTTAAAAACTGCAAAACGCAAGTTTATATGGCTCTAACTGCTGAGATATAAAAGGGCTTAAGAGGAAAAAGCCCCAAGTCAGCCCAGTGAGTTGATTAACTGGCTTCCAGAAGCAGGTGGCCCGACCTAGCCTCCCTAGTGCTGCCCATCATTTGCCTTAAATCCCAAGGTTTCGTGTGATCTGATGCTATTCCGGGGCCCCTCCCCGGCCACACCCCCACCTGTGACACAAGGAGGCACTCGTGACTCCTCCAGCATGACAGGCTCCATCTCGCCTCTATGACTCTGCACAATCAGCTCCCTCTGCCGGGGTACCCCCTACCCCACCTGCCCCAATAGCCCTCCGCCCAGTGCTGAGCTGCGGGTGTGAGGCTGGGATCCTCCATTAGACTGTCGGCCTCCTAAGGACAGGAACTGTCACCTTCCGCTCTGTACCCTGCACTTAGTACTTGGCAGGTGCTTGAGCCCTGACCCTGGACCCTGTTTCATTCTACTTATTGAACATTTATTAAGTATCTCCTCTGATAAAACTCTGTGCTAGGGCATGGTGGGGGGGTGGGGGAACACAGGCCCTTGCTCAAGGAGCACCTGACATAGCAGAGAAGACAGACACAATCACTAATAATTATGAAAAAAGTGCTATAACATTTAAAGGAAGAGGGAACACTGAGGAGGGTGAGATACTTTTGCCCAGGGAATGAGGAGGCTTCCAGGAAGAGGTGGGTGCGTCAAGCGATAAAAAACGAATAGAGAAGCGTCTGAAGACGAACTGGAGGGCATGACATAAAGCCTGGGTCAACCCACTGTGACATGTGAGCCGTTTCCTACATCGAGGGGCCAAGTGAGGCCGGAGGAAGCCCCAAGGCCAGCCCTGCCCCATGCCTAGAAGAAAGAGACTTACCGCATCCAGGCTTGTCTGCTTGCAGGGGAATGAGAACGTGAAGCCCAGAGGCATTTTGGGGCCTTTGATCCCCATGTAGTCCAGGAAGTCAGAGATGCAGGAGACGATGTGGTCAAATAGCTGTAGGAGAAAAGAAGGGATTACCCGTGCTCTCTGGCTTCCTGCTTCAGTACACGCGTACAAGTGCACGATTCCATGTATACACACACACACACACACACGCGCGCGCACGCACCGACACATGCCGGGCAAGTACCCACCCCGGGAACTCTGCAGCCCCCCGAGCATCGGAAGCCCAGCATTGCTTAAGGTGCCTGATGCTTTCAGGCCACAAGGACACGATGGCAGAGCTGCGTGCACCCCGTGGCAGGTTTGGGGGGACCATCGATGCCACTGGACATGTGACACACATGTGCCATCATGGTAGAAAAGCCAAACTGTCTCACCTCTTCCCCGGTGCCCTGCATGATTTCAATGGGAATGGCATAGATCTTGTTGTGCATTTCCACTGTTCTCTTTTTCCCACTGCGGATTTTCACCAGCAGGACACGGAAATTTGTTCCTCCAAGATCAAGAGCCAAGAAGTCACCATGCTCTATTAGAGTCAAGAACATAAAGAACATCAAAAACAGCTAAGTGCCTCTTGGCAGCCGGTAACCCCAAGACTCGAGCCCCCATATTAAATACAGGGGAGAAGCTCCAGCTTCTGCTGCCTCCAGCACACTGCTCAGGCTCGGGGAGAGTGGGCACAAACTCACTGACCACCACGACCTTCAAGCCACACTAGAAGGACAAAAGACCCATGGATGAACCACCTGTCACAATAAACAAACAAAATTCTCCAGGGTTATAAAAAGCATGGCAACAGTGACCCGATTTTAGGGGAAGCCCTCACAAAAATTAGTCATTTATGTCAATGTGTAGAGTGTGTGTAAAAATGTGCACAGTCATTCTCTTCCCTGTACTTTTCCTCTGCAAAGTGACTCTGCAGTTCTTCCCATCAAAAGATGGAGTCTATTTCTCCTCCCCTTGGCTCCAGCCCAGCCTTATGACTCGCTTTGGCCGACAGAGTGTGGCAGAAGCAGAGCTGAGCCTGTCCCAGCCTAGGCCTCCAAGAGGCTTTGAAGTCCTTCCTCTCTTTCATGGACCCTGGCGCTACCACGTGGGCGAGCCCGGCGGCCTGCTGGAGGATGAGACGCACAGCCAGGCACTCTTGCACCCTTGCTGAGTGCCGACTGCTGGACGTGTGAGCGGGGCCTCCGAGCTGACCCACCAGCGACTGCAGACTCGTGAATGCGTCCAGCAGAGACCAGCTGAGCCGGGCCCAGAGGAGCATTAAGAGGCGGCTGCTGTTTTAAGCCACTAGGCTTGAGGGTGGTTTTGAATACAAGAATATAAAACGATCATAAGTAACTGACACATGGGACCTAATTCATATCACAAATCTGATTTTAAAGGCCCAGCAGAGAAGCCCCTCGGCGTCTCCAGAGCGCTCAGCAAGGTCAGCATTAAGGGTTGGATTCTGTTCTCCAATCTGCCTGGAGCCCCAGGCCCCTGTCTGCTTGCTGCACACCATGTCAGGATTTAGGAAGGGCGCACTGGGTAACTATCCTTCTGCTGGTGAATCTGTGAGAACCTGCCGCAATCCCAGTGTTGTGGGACCGGCCCACTTTCACTGTTTTAAGCACACTTTCTGATTCAGAGCAGGACTGTGGTTTTAGAGATGCTGCTTGCCTGGGAGGCCAGATCCAGGGCAAGTCAAGGGCCCTGAGTCACACATGCGGCAAGTCAGTGGTAAAAACAGAAAGCAGAGGGTTTTGAATGCGTTCCTACTGCTTGCTAAAATAAACGCATCCGCGGGAGATACGACTTCCCTGCAGCCCCACTTGGTCCCTGGTGGGAGAAGCAGGAGGGGTGTGTCAGCCCCCAGCAGAGGCCCTCACCGGTCCCATCTGGAGTGCTCCGGACAAAGGAGGGCAGCATCTTGACCACGGCCTTCTCGTGCGTCTGCTTCCTCAGGCCCATATCCATCTCAGCCCGCATTCTCTTCTTCACCTCCAGCAACATGTCCTTGGTGAGGCGGAAGTGGGCCAGGGTCTCCTCGATCTGTCGGTGCTGCTCGGCCAGGCGGTAGGCCACCGCGGTGACCATGGCAGCCCCCTTGCCGCTGCCGCTCTCCGAGAGGAGGAAACGCACATCGGAGTCGGGCACCAAGCGCCTCAGAGTCTTGTGGAAACGCCGGGAAAACCTGGGGTGGGGGGGCGGGGCGCAGGCCACAAGAGTTAGACTAGAGCCCTCTGTCAGGGAGCTCTGATTCCCCTTTCTTTTCCCACACCTGAATTCCATGTTCTAGACCTGATTTTCTCGTCACCCAGGTCATACACGAGCGCTGGAGAAAAGCTGGCAGATGCAGACAAGTAAAAAGGAAAAATGCAAGTAGCCCACAGTCACACACATTATGACGTGAGTATCAAATACAGAAAATTCAGGGTCCAAAAAGGGTTCTGTCCTCCACCATGACACAGAGCTAACAGCACAGTGATGTCCGGAGCCCAGCGTTTGGAAGTGAGACAGATCAGGAGACAGGGACGAGCTCTGCCACCCCCATCAGGTGACCTTGGGCCTGTGACTTAACCTTGGAGTCCACGAGGATTGACAGTACCTGGCAGAGAGTGGGGCGGTGAGAACTAAACAAGTCCGTCAATTGCTTTGATTGGTTACTAGCTCCATAAATAATCACTCTTGTTTTTTATTTTCACTTGCCCATTCCTTCCGCCCCCAAGAGTCGGGACATTCTTTATTGGCTAGAAGAGGACTTTAGGACTCAGTGAGACACAGAACCTCCTCAAAGTTTATGGTCTTTCGTAAGTATGGAAGGCTGCCTGCCAAAGGAAACAGGGAAACCAGAACCCCAAAATATCAACAGTGACCAATACCAGGGGGTAGGATGAAAAATCACTTCTGTTCTCTTTGTAATTTTTTGAACTATCTAAAGTTCCTACACCAAATACATGTGACTTCTGAACTAGAACACATTTAATCAAAGTTATTTGTTTGACATGTGATCTTGTAGATCTTGTAGAGTTCAGGAGGTGGCTGGTGGTGACTGGTCGCACAACGGCGTGAATATGCTTACCACCACTGAACTGTATACTCAAAAATGGTTAGGATAGGAAATTCTATAGCGTGTATTTTACCACAATTAACAAAATTTTTAATGTGATGTTGCAAATCCCTTTCTTGTCTAAACATTTGCCAAGAAACCACCTATCCCTCAAAAAGATAGCCAGTTTCATTATCAAAAATTTTACAGGGGCGCCTGGGTGGCTCAGTTGGTTAAGCGACTGCCTTCGGCTCAGGTCATGATCCTGGAGTCCCGGGATCGAGTCCCGCATCGGGCTC